GTGTGTGTGTGTGTGTGTGTGTGTGTGTGTGTGTGTGTGTGTGTGTGTGTGTGTGTGTGTGTGTGTGTGTGTGTGTGTGTGTGTGTGTGTGTGTGTGTGCGTGTGTGTTTAAAAAGCACAGAAGGAATATTTTTTGTTTTACTTCTGCTGATGTGAGTACAATAAACAACGAGGCGTTTGATGTAGTTTTACTTCTTCTTGGCTGCATACACTAGTATTCACCTGTATACACTAGTAGCGAGAGTGATTCAAAGCCTGTTTAACTACACTTTTTGACAAGCGGTGAAAAAAACACACTTTATAAAGTAAATTTTACTAATGGATTGATGGATTAACAGCAGACATCAGGAAGTTCCGACTTAATTGCCTTGAAAGCTGACCTTAAAACATGTCAACATTATGCATAAATAAGTCATTTACTTCTGACAAAAAATTGCAAATTCCACTGCAAATCAGTCAACTCAGATTTAATTAGTACTAAGCAACGATTGTTGAATAATAATTACGCCAAGTAGAGTGGAGAAAATTATCACCATATACAGGGTGTTTATAACATTTAGTCATGCTTTAAAATCGTTACAGCTAATTGTTTAAAAAATGCAAACAAAGTCATCGGATGTTAATAAGTAACCAGAGAAAAATATGAGACACAAGCAAGATAATACCGGTAATAAAAGGCAAAGTAATCCAAAATTAAAATAAATAATTTGTTTCAGATTTAAGTTTGTTGATAAGAAACAATTTGTCTTAATTCTGGAGACCATTACATAAAAAGCAGAGACACAGAGTTGCAATGGATTTATAAAAATATCTGAAACAATAGTTTTAAATAACTATTTGGCCGATTTTCTCAAAATGCATGCTTAAAACCTCTTTAAACATAGGGGTTTCAGGAGGAAATGTACATATTTCAAGATGTTGCTCCGATTAAATTTTAAGCGAATAAATTAATATAAACACAAGTCTGGAAAAAGTTTGTTTAGGAATTACACGGCGGTAAAAACGGCGTGCGTTCTGAAGGTAGTTACAATTAAGTCCAGTATAAACGTATTAACGTAAACAGTATTTTTTTTACTTCTCGAGGGCATAGCATTTTCCAATGATTTGAACCATGTATAATTTAATCAATTAATCAATGATTAAGCAGTCAAAACATCGAGTTAAAAACAGCAGTCGAAGAATATTTTGCGGAATTTACTTTACGTATAATTTAACCTGAATCACACTTTTTTGTATATTTGAACCACCACCAAATAAATTTGGTATAAAAAAGTCTCATTTAGAAATAAAAATTGCCAAGTCCGAGCTTTTTTCCAATAGACACACCAGATAATTTTATATGAATTTAGTAGTATTTATACCGCTGTATTTATTATTGTAATTATTTACATTTCATATTTTAATCCGACGCGATAAGTTTCGAAACTATTTCTGGAACTCACTGTTTAATATGTTGTTCAAAAATCATCAGGAATAATTGAATGGATATAACCATTGTAACATTTGTAAGAGTTTGTATTTTTTAGCAGATTTCCCGTAAATGTTGCTCACAATTGCTGAGATTGATTTAAAATCTTTATTTTATTGCTGAGTTTCATTTTTATTAGATCGTTTTTCAGTTATTTCTTATTATGCCTACATCGTGAAATTTTTTCTAGAAAAACATCCTGTTTGGAACATAGATATGTAAAAAAAAATAATTTTTTTAAGAATAGGTTTTGCTAATATATTTTCAGTTTTATTACATAAATAGTTTCTTCTTCACATTATATCTACAACGACAAGAATCGGCCGAGGAAAACGGAGTCAATAGCGCTACGAAGGGCCATCGAAAGCGCAGAGAAAGTGCTTTAGTTAATAGACACAAGTAATAATTGATTGTGTTTATTTTCCTAATAAAATAAATATAAATCAATTTTTACTGTTTGTTTATTTTGTATATGCCTCGATCAACCGAAACAGTCTGCTACAGGCTATGACGATGACCAGCTTGTTAATGTAACGCTATTTTCCACTAAAGTCCATTTTTTATGTCAATTTCTGCCCCTAATATTTGCTTGTCGCGCTACCTTCTTAAATATTCTGCTCGGAATTTTAGTAAAAACCCACAAAATAGTTTTAGCGTTCCGTTATTTGCTATGAATGTCTATTTCTGCTCTTGTAGCTACCTTCTTCAATATTCTGCTCTCATGGTACAAATGTGATTTTAGTCAAGACACACAAAATAGTTTTTGCGTAACGCTAATTGCGATTGATGTCTATTTCTGCTCCTGATTTTTGCTTGTGGCTTACCTTTTTCAATATTCTGCTCTCATGGTACAAATGTGATTTTAGCCAAGACACACAAAATAGTTTTTGCGTTCTGTTATTTGCTATGAATGTCCATTTCTGCTCTTGTGACTACCTTCTTGAATAATCTGCTCTCCTGATACAAATGCTATTGTATTCAAGAAGCTCAAAATAGTTTTTGCGTTACGTTAATTGCGATTAATGTCTATCTATTTCTACGTGATATTTGCTTTTCGCTACCTTCTTGAATCTGCTCTCCTGATGCAGATAGGATTTTCGTGGAAACACATGAAATAGTTTTGGCGTTACGCGACTACGTTCTGCTCCAGATTGTTTGCTTGTCGCTACCTTCTTGAACATTCTACGACCCTGATGCAAATTTCAGTCAAGACACAAAATCATTTAAGAGTAACGTTAATTGCCATTAAGGTCTATTTCTGCCTCTGATATTTGCTTGTCGCTTACCTTCTTGAATATTCTGCTCTCCTAATACAAATGCTATTTTAGTAAAGACATATAAAATAGTTTTTGGGTTACGTTAATTGCGATTAATATCTATCTATTTCTGCCACTGATATTTGATTGTCGCTTTCTTCTTGAAACGGCTCTCCTGATGCAGATAGGATTTTAGTCAAGACATACAAAATAGTTATTGCGTTACGTTAATTGCGATTAATGTCCATCTTTTTCTGCTCCTGATTTTTTTCTTGTACCTTCTTGAATACTCTGCACTCCTGATACAAATCCCATTAATTTAGGAGCATACATTATCGTTAATTGCGATTGAAGTCTATTTCTGCTCTTGATTTTTGCCGGTCGCTACCTTCTTGAATATTCTGCTCTCCTGATCCAAAAGCGATTTTAGTCAAGACACAGAAAGCAGAGATTTTTTCGTCCTTTTTAGAAAGTGTCGTTTTATCACCAAGGTTTTGTGTGTCCCACTAATCGACAAAGGAAATGGGAGAACAAAAAAATCTAATGCCATTAAAAAATGTTTATTGTCAACAATCTATTAATCTAAACATGCTTTATCTTAAGAGAAATTTCTTAATACATTCGCTAAATAAAAATTGTGGCAGTTCTCTAGATTTAGTTCCAAACTAGATACTTACGGAGGCCAACTGATTGAACTTATCATTAGCGATGATTTCTTTCAAAATTTTGTAGTCCTGAAAAGGACTGATTTATTCAAGCATTATCCAGAACAAGAATCAAAATTCAGTGTTCAAAATGTGTACAATTTACGGCAAGACAATTTCCAAGGCGATCGATAAACTCATCTTGTATCTTATTATTTTGGTACGTAATTTTTTTACCTCGCAAATTCCTCTAGTCCTATTGAGAAAATACTTCTATTTACAAAAAACAATGAAGTTGTTGGTGGTAATTAATTTTCAAATAAAACTTGACGGGTTCGAGCTTATTTTCCAAAAAAAACAGTCCGATGAATTTAAATTGAATTTAGACATTACTTCTAAGAAAGACCAGGTTCTCAAAGTTAAAGAAATAATAATAAAAAGTGAAAATGAAAATGTTCTCTTAAGTTTAATATTTTTACTTTATATAAAGTGTTGGGATAATGTAGCATGCTAATGTGTAATTGATTTTTTTTTCAACATTTACTGATAAGCGGTTTTTTTATAATCTCGAATTAGGTTTACAACACCATAGTGAAGTCTCACCTTCGCATGGACGCAAAATGATAATTGCATAGAAAAACTGATAAAAATCTGGGAATATTTACAAAAAAATCTATTTATGGCTTGAAATAACGCCGAAGATTTCCGATATCTCATCTCTCTATGAAATCATTACCATACAAAAACAGAGAAAGTTTTTTAAAAAGAAATTTTAGTAAAAAGTTGTAAGATTCGTTTAAATCTTCAATGACTCTTCTAAAATTCACACGGTCATTAATCTCCATGACAATGGAATCGCTTAAGATTCTTTTTATCAACTGCAGTTGATACTCTGGAATTTCAACATTATTTAAATCAAACTTATGGTTTCTTTTCGAGCCTCGTTTATTTTTGAGATTTTCCCATTCCAGCTAGTGCGAATTAAAAAACATATACTTCAATATAGATGCATCTATTTACCCAAAAAGTTAATTAAATGCTCAACACTCAATGCTCGAATTACGCTTGTTTAAGCTGACTTAGATCCGTAATAGTACTGACCGTATCCAGAATATGGCCTGTTGGCATAATACTGTTGGTAGGCAGACGTAGGCTGGATGGAACTTTCAGCAGTACTTTTCTCCCCTGTGCTGTCGCTTCTATCTAGAATATGGGCATGATGGTAATATGGAGACAATGGTGCTATGTAAGGAGCTGCGGCTGGCCTTCGGGCCTCTTGGAGTCGAGCTAGAACGCTGCTTAAACCCACCACCAAGAGGAGGAAGCCGATGAAGCCTGAAAAACCACAAAAATGCCTAATTAGGGAAATCTTTCGTATTTGCTTTGCACGCTTAGTGGGCTTTTTTGCGGCCGGTCATGGTGTGCTAGTTTTGTGACCGAAGATATTTTTATATTGTGCGTGTCGATAAACCGACATTTTTATGCCTGAGTAGCTTTATCTAGCAGATAATGACTCTATCAGGTTAAAATAGGTAGAGATAAAAACACCGATTTTTCCACAAGTAAAAAAACATTGAACAATCAACGCACGTAGTTATAATACTTTTCATCAAACTTACCGTTATTAATGGCCACGATAGTGACGAGTAGCAGTAACGTGAACGCAATCCCCAATTTAAAAAAAATAGCCGGTAGTATGATCATGAAACGTTTCATTGCATGATGAACGAGGGTACGACCTGAAAAATTAGTTGCATTTTATACCTTATTGTGCCAAACCATTACATAATGAATCATTCCTATTCGTACCTTCTTCAATCATTCTCCCCACAAATTCGGCTCCATTCTTCCTATCGTCTAAAGCACTTCGATTATCTTCAGCACTGCACAACACCAGTAGGTTGCATAGGGGAATTGCAAGCAGAAAACAATTCAGACCGCTCATATTGCACTCGTGTGAAGTATCGAACTCTTTGTCGCCAAATGGACTCAAAAAAAATACTAGAGCATGCTTGTGCCGAAAATTAATTAATGCAATCACGTCTTGAACAATAACGTGTACTTTTGCCTAAGTAGAATATGTTTCATTCAATTTCGGCCAATGTCGATATTTGGTTTGTGTTATTTCATGCATTTAAAGCCTGCCGAGGCAGTTATTTGGGTGACTAAGAATTCGTGCCTTAGAGAATCAGATCAAATTGAATACGATTTTTAGCGATGGAATGCTAAAGTTAAAAGCTCCCAATTTATAATTTCAAATTAATATACTAGATAATATAACACGTACAAAAATATACTACTGACTAGAGCGTTTTTTGAATTTGTTGGATTCACCGATTTTCCAGAATAGTGATGTGAATGCTTATAAGTCTAAATGTTTCAATTAAATTACTGGCTTTGATTTAACTGGGCTTGTTTTAAAGTAAATTATTAAGAAAATGAAGGACAAAACGCAGGTGCAAAAAGCAAAGTGAGAACTGGGACAAATGCTTAATTTCCTAAACTAAATTTGGCCCAAGAAAGTTATTTGCGCAAACAAAAAAATCGCAGAGATTCAAGAAAGTTTGCGCATTACGATTAAACCGTTTCCCATGCATGGGGTTAGTGCTTGTTTCTATCAATCGCCAAACAATTGTTGGTTTAGTGTTAAAAAATCGACAGTTTGAGGCAAAAGTTGTGCCGGCTCCTTGAAGGACCGCACAGTTTGAGAAATAGAGAGTGAAATTTTTTTACCAAATAGTGTATGGTTGCTTTGGTACCAGTGAGGCTCGGCAAAACTTCTACATCAACAGATTATTAATTCAGAGTTGAAAATCAAAAATTATTTGTTAATCTTAATTAGTGTCGTGTCCGAAGGGCTCGGTTTACCTTTTACATCAAACTATGCGGAGAGTATTTTTTTGCAAAGTAACCCGAGAAAAGTGTTGAAAAGTTGTGCCGAGCTCCCAGTGCCAGCACGACACTGGTTGAAGCGTAGAAAGCACCGTTTTTTATTTAATTTCCTCTTGATTAATCTTAACCAGTGTCGTGCCCGAAGGGCTCGGTACAACTTTTACATCAAACTATGCGGAGAGTATTTTTTGCAAAGTAACTCGAGAAAAGTGTTTGTTGAAAAGTTGTGCCGACACCTTCGGGCACGACAGTGGTTAAAGCATAGGAAACACTGTTTTTCACTCAACTTTCTTCTTTCTTTCTTTGTTAAGCTTAACCAGTGTCGTGGCCGAAAGGCTCGAGACAACTTTTACATCAAACTACGCGAAAAGTATTTTTTTGCAAAGTAAACTGCGAAAAGTGTTTGCTGTAAAGTTGTGCCGAGACCTTCGGGCACTACACTGTCTGAAGCGTAGAAAACTCTGTTTTTCACTCAATTTCCTCTTGATTAAGCTTAGCCAGAGAAAAGAGAAATATAAAGTGAAACATAATTAGCCAAAAGCGCATGGTTGCTTTACAACCAGTGTTGTGCTGGTAGAGGGGCACAACTTCTACATCAACAGATTGTTGCTTCAGTCTTGCAATATCAAAATTTTAAGGGAAAAGTTGTGCCGAGCCCTTTGGGCACGACACAGTGTGAGAAAGGGAAAGGGAAAACTCATCAGCAAATAGTGCATGGTTCCTTTAAAACCAGTGTTGTGCACGTAGAGCTCGGCACAACTTCTACGTCAACAGATTGTAGCTTCAGTCTTACAAAATCAAAACTTTAAGGCGAAAGTTGTTCGAAGCACTTCGTGCAAGGCACTATTTGAGAAACAAACACTAAAAAGTCATGAGAAAATAGTGCATCATTCCTATAGGGCCAGTGTCGTGCCCGAAGGGAAACTGAAAAAAGAATTTTCACATCAACAGATTATTGGTTCAATGTTGAAAATTCAACAGCTTAATGACAAATTTGGGTTAACCACTTCAGACAGAACGCAGTTTCAGGGTAGAAAGTGAAACTTCATAAAGAAATAGTGCGTGGTTGCTTTACGATCAGTGTCGTACCACAGGGCTTGTGGAAACTTGAACATCAACAGATTGTTGGTTTATTGTTAGAAACTCAGCGGTTCGAGGCAACATTTGCATCAAAATGGAATGAAAAAATGTACGTAAACTCAGCGTTCCGTGCTGGGTGTTAGTGCTCGTTTATATTAAACTTCCAACGACTGCTGGTTCAGTGTTGCAACACCAACGGTTTACGGAATAAAAAATTTCAAACTTTGGAACAAACAATGTCTTACTGCTTCACATCCAGTAGAATCCAGCACAACGTTTATATTAAGAAAAAACTATTTATTTTACAGATAAATCGGCGTGGTTTCAACTGAAAAAAAAACTCCGATAAAATACTTTGGTAATACATCGACTTGCCAAACACTCTATCAATAAAACCCCAAGTTTCCTCATCATTATTTGATAGACTGATTGAAATCAAAGCACAAACTGAACCATCATATAAAATCATTGGACTAATTTAGTTTGAGGGCCATGTTGCAAAATCATAACGTCTATCATGCGATCGTTTTCTTCATTAAATCTCCATCAATTGCACATGTTAATCATCTGAACAAGGCACATGAACACTTCGCAGTTCATCCATCCATGCCGAGAATTTGAATAGTGGTTCAACCCGGCCGTAATTGGTAATACGGTGGAGAAGAACGAGCCGAAGAACTGGGTTAGCAACATCGAGGCTGATGGCCGCTATTTACACAACCAGTGCAAACGCGCAATAATGCAGGATCTAAAGAATTTATCCGCTATTGGTTTTAGTGTTTTATTTGCGGCATTTTGCAACACTTGTCATGGATCGGTGATAGCTGAAAAAAGTGCAGTGCAATCTATTGGGAGCAGTGACTCAAAGTGGTCTTCTAGTGCCATTCATGGCACATTTTCTTTAACCCCCAGTATAACCTTGGGGGTAAACTTAACGGCAAAGAACTTCGGAGTTTTTCTGCAGCTCAAAAACAGTCTTCGAGCGGCCAGGGGCCTAATGGATAAAGCAGAAAGCCTTCTACCAGTTAAAGCGTCTTCGCCCATGTTCTCCTACGTGCTCACCCCAGCCTTAGCTCTAGCTGGATTGATTCCCTGGGTGGTTCCAGGCATAAGTTTGGCTGCAGGCTTTGTTCAGTTAATCAACCAAATGGCCTTCACCGCGGGACTGAGCGCTTTGGTGAGGAGTTACATTTTTGATGCCAAACCTGACGAGCATGTGGTGTATGTGAATAGTGGCTATGGAAGCAAAGGACACACGAAACATCACCGTCCAGGAGAAGTTTGAACACCAGAATAGCAAGGAGTCGAATCAGTTTTTTTGGGCGGGTTAGTGGCTAGGGAAGTGAGTGAGTGTAGAATAAAACTATGAGGAAGCAGGAACCTGTGTTGGCTCCAAATCGTGCCAACTGTTAAGCACGCCTGTAGTTACTTTATGTTGGTTGGTATGCAGTCTGAATCTGAGTCAAGAATTCTAATTTCCTTCTTTCGCGAATATTTGATTAAAAGGTTGACCAAAGCAAAGCGTTTTATTTAAGATTAAGGAAAATATGTGACATGTTCCAGCAAATGCCCAAAACTTTTTATACCTGTAGTTTTACTTCAACAGCTGAAATTCTTATGTTAATGTTTTTTTCTTATACAAAATATGATCAAAAATTTAATAGATTTTTAGTTATTCGGCTTTGACGATTAAATTTCCTATCCAGGGTGTTGATGAATCGAAAATATCTCCATCATTTAATATTTGGCATGCGGAACATTCGTCTCGTAAACTACTGGGCGGTCATAATATTCGTGCAATTTAACGGATTTTTAAATTCAAAATCTCACTTTTTTAACATTCGCTTATTTTCAGTGTGTTTTATCCAGGTGGTTTTATCCCTTTGAATTATGCTAAATAATGTATCTTGGAATAAAAAAATACTATGCTGAAACCGCAAATTTTTCTTCAACCCACACTAAATCAAACCAGATTAGTGAACACCTTGGAATCAAACCCGTTTAGACGAAGTTAAACAGTCTTCATGGTCCAAAGCCCCAAAAAATTGAATTTAAAATTCATAATTCCATGTTCATATCTTAGATCTGTTTGAAACAGCCACTAGAATCAATGAGTGGAAAATCGATTTTCTGCGGGGTGTTTCCCGACGGACGATAAAGCCGGGAAATGCATGCAGAAGGCGCTGTTTCCTACTCCATCCAGAGTCTAATAGCTTATTCCGATATTGCCGCACTGGCAAAAAATCCCTAGAAGACAGGAGCCAATTTATGTAGCCACACATTTTAAACCCTCTCAACTGTTTGACTTTTTCATCAAACACTCTTTCTCTTCTAGAATCCGCAAGTTACGCAACACCCATGCAATTAGTCTCAGGCAGAAACGAAAAGTGACAGTAGTTAGTTCATGAAATTTAAGGCGCCAATTTAAAATATTTACGACTATTTTCATAAACAACTCATACAAAACATTCCTTAGTTTCACGGAGGGTAAAACCTGCGAACTTCTCCCCTGCTGAACTTCGACATGGCAACGCAGTGTTCGCCCACATGTCGCCCAAATTGCGCCCCTTCCGCCCTTCTAGTGCAATCGAAAGCAAAATGAAAATTAAACTTTAATTCGGCAAACACTAAATACAGTTCGTGCCGGTGACATTTTCGTGAATTTTTCAAAACCGTTTTCCGAATAAACGTGGGCATTTGCGAGTGTTTTTGTCAGTTTCATGTCGTGCAGTGACCATTCCTGGGTATTGATTCGCCTAAGTTAAGGGTAAGAACATTTACATTGTGTTACCACTGGAGCCACACATATTAACGATAATTATTTCAATGTATTTTTAAACTGTAAGGCCTTAGCTTAGGCTGGGGTGCTTCGGGTAAAATTATGTATTTTTATTATATTTTTTAATTGGAAAATGCAACAACTAATCGGCAGCGAAAGTAGAATCGATTGGAACATTCAACCTAATTAAAGCCGTCGCATATTTGAACATTAGCAGGCAAGTTTTACGAAAAATTGTGGAAATAATCTGAAATGGCCCTTTTTGCTATGTTGCAGATGAAACCGTGATCACTATGGAGCATCACATTGACTGTGGCTGAATGAGAAGGTAAACGTGTTTTTATATTTAAAGTGGATCATGTGAATTATTGCGAATTAAACGACCTATCGAGAAAGGAAAATTTGCAAAAATATTACAAAGATTTTATGGAGTTTTAGTGAGTTCATCTTCTCATTGAGATTTCCTGCACATAACGCCGCAATCAGGCAGGTTTTGCAAATTTAGCCAAAAGAAGCTTTAACGTAGGGAAAAAATCATTCAAGTCTAGCACTAGTTGATTTTTCTTAAGCTGTAAAACGTGCCCCTCAATCGCGCTTATAACCATGTAAATCCAGGAAAAAAATTAAGCCAATTTTGATGTAGAAAAAATTTTCAATTTTGTCAGTAGATCCAGGAAGCTTTCGGCTATAGACTCGGCAAAAATCATGAGCATCTAGCAACCACTTAATTTTTCACAAGCTCTGAAACTTACACCCCATCAAAACTTATAACTGGGGAACCGGGAAAAAATTGTTTGGAAGCTGGAAAATGTTGACAATTTTGTCAGTAAGTAGAAGCACCTTCCAGCTATAGATCAGAGAAAATTCATATGCATCCAGGAACTGGTTGAAGTAGTTGATTTTTCGCAGGCTCTGAAACTTGCAACGCAACAAAGGCTGTAACAGTAAACTGTAGGACCAGAAAGTTAAATTTCTTAAGCCAATTCTAAAGATGATAGAATTTTTTCTGGGTGAAAGGGAAAGCCTCTGGCTAAGAATCAGAAAAATCCCATTCAAATCTGTTTGCTATCTAATTTTTTACAGCCTCTGAGACTTGCACTTCAACAACGTCTAGAATCAATAGAGTGAAGAACCAGAAGGAACAATACCTGAGTCCAA